TATTATGAGAACTTGGTGCAAGATCTAGATAGCAGCTTCTACCTGAAAAGTTTGAATATTCTCATTACCTGTTCGCTGAATAATGTATGGATATTACTGGGAGAAGTTTCATGTTAATCACTACTGGGAGTTAAAGGGTTAAAGATTTGACAAGTGGTTAGAAAGCTTAACAATTCTCTCTTACAAAAAACAGCAATAATCACAAGCCTCTTAAGCATGTATACTTACTTCTTTCAATAGATCCTAGGGACTCTCCCTTACCCTAAGAAGAGAAGCCACAACATGAAAACTTGTTACTCATGAACAATTTAATCACTATCCTCCCAGGGTAAATATAAATGCAAATGGTGTCCAAATGTGTTTCATTTCTCAAAACTAATAGGTAATTCTTTCTTTTAACTGCCACAAACTTCACTTTCAATAAGTCAAGAGAAGTTAAGTTACATCAAGATCACAAAATCTCCCTGATAATTGTATGTAGTATTTTCTACTCATCATCTATTTACTAGAAATTGTATTGATATTGTTGGCAAAAGATGCAAGATAATCACCTATGGAAGTAAACAAATAGTGTTCCTCTGAACTCAAATAAGTCAACTCACACAAGTAACACCTATTCTAGATAAGAAACCCTTTAACAGGCAGTTATAACAATCAAAAGAGTATCAATGAATTTAAGTAGCTTTACCTCAAAGATAAGAGGCTTGCTCTCTTTGATTATAGTTGGTGTGGTTTGATTGACCAGAAAGTCTGTTGACTTCCTTGCTCTTTTCCCTTCAATAACGACTGGCTTGTCATAAAGTCCTAGAGAGATCACTGAGCTCAGTATTTGTTTGATGTGCAGCTAAAAATACTTCAATTCAACTTTTTTATTTTGCAGTATATGTATCAGTATCTAAATAATCCAAAGGATAAATGCTGAAAAGTACTTCACTGCTCATCTCCCAATATCTGATTACTAATTTTCTTTACTGTCTGCCATACAATTCTTTCATTATTAATTTGGATAATTTAGTATTTTTAATTATTAACTTATAATCCCCTTATTGATATTTTAATTATTCCCCTCACACATGTGCTTGATTGTGTATTGATATTGTCAAGGAAAATTCTGTCTTAGTCACTCATGGGATTTCACAAGTTATGGAGAAGAACATTACATTACAATTTGGTATTGGGTCAACCAATAATGCCCTAATTAAGATTTTTCTTTATTCTCATCACTTGTCTGCTTGATATTGTACTGATATTGTAAGGAGAAATTCTTTCTTGGTCACTTATGGGAGTTAAAGAGTTCACTAATTTCTGATGGCCATGCATTAAACTGGCCATGCATTAAACAGGTAATTTAAGGGAATAAAAAAATATACTTTGCTTTCCATTTATACCAATTACTATCATTGCACTATTTGATCCCCCTGATTTAAACCAATTAGACATCGATCTATGATACTGTAGATAAACACTGCGATCCAAGCCACGACATCTTACAGGGCCTCTCGGAAAACTATATGTAACGTATTGTAACGTATTTGCTATAGTAACAGCTAAGAATAATGCACTGCTTAAGTATCATGCAAAAAAGCAATCATAGCAAGTATACGGATGAGAAACAAAAGGAAGGTCCAAATGTCTGTCTGTTCGCAAAAATGTAACTTAAATGATCGTGTATTGTCTGCGAATTCAACAGTGTTTACTATAGACTACAGAAGTCATTGGCGAGTAACAGAACACGTTTACACGACAGCTTAAAATTGAATGACGCTTCATGATCGAAATAAAACTACCTGCATGCTCCTCTTCTTCGCTTGACTCCTCGTTGTCTTCGTCTTCACCATTCTTTGAAACTTGCTTCGAATCCTCGGCCTCCACATTGTTTGACTTTTCATCCTAAAATAGCATCAAACGAACAAAAGGCAGGTGAGCTGCGCGGTTCCTTTCAATCTAACGTGAAAAACTTCAAATTCTGGTGAAGAGAATGGACGAGATTTTCGTCAACCTTTGCCGTTTCTTTGGCCTCAGATTTAAGTTCGGAGGATTCGAGTTTGTCCGCCATGATGATCGAGGCTTCTAACGGGCATGTGCTTTGCGCGGGAAATTGACAAAAAAGATCGATAACTGTCAACCTCGATTTCATGTGTGGCATGCGGGCTCACAAAAACTTGGGTAGGACTTTGTCAGGACTCATTTAGATTTGGTTATATTACGCTGGTCATTTTGTATGGGAGTGAACGATGACGTTCCGAAAAGGCAACGTGAAAGGGATCACAAGTCTCTGATCAAATCTTCCAATCCGAGTAACCTCACCAAATGAGAGATGAGCTGGCGTTTGAAGTCTGATTAAAATTTTTAAACTCATACAGGCCCAACAGTGCAGGTATTGCCTGTTTGCAAAGCGGCCGGTGCTGAACCAGTCTCAAGATTAATTAGATAAACGATATCTACTTCAAACATAACCTTTTCGTGGAAATTTATTTAGCGGGACGCAGAAGTGGAGTAAAAAAAAACCTGAGTTATCGTGTAAACAATAATCTTTAGTTGGCAGAGTAATGTTACTTTGGACAGCCGACCTAAAACATTTTGCTTTACCCCTTTAGACCCTAATATCAGTATTCATATTCTCATAATTCTTCTCTATACATTTCCTTTGGTACTGACAAGGAGAATTCGTAGGATTAAACTTCTGGGGGGTTGGCGATCTTTCCTCATATTCTCATGATCTAAGGCTAATTCAGCAGTATCGTTATTGTAAGGAGAATTTAGATTCTAGTCATTCTTAGGCTAAGAAGTTTGAGGAAAGTTTTTATTGCCCGTAAGGATTATTTTTCGTCAACAATGAGGGATCAAGTTAACCTCTATTTTCTAGTGATTGTGGAAAGTAATCGACTACCAAAAGCGTTTGTCCAACAAGTTCTTCCAAAATGTCTTTGAAGTGAAAAGAGACATGCGCATGGGGCGAAAACTAAATTTGAATAAGTGATTGCACATAGGTACTTAATGTGGTAAAGATGGATAACAGACGCATTATCGTACATGTCGATAAAGACAAAATATGAAAGTACTCCGAGGAGGGGCGTAAGAAACAGTCCACACCTAAAATCTTAGGCCGGTTGCCAAAATTTTTTTGATTTTCGATAGAGATGGATTGTTTTAAAGCATGCTTATAAATTCCACCTCGATGATATCACTTATAAATACACACCTCGTCAGCTAAATCTACGAGTAATCGAATTCTTGCAAAAGAAGAATATTCTGCCTTAAGATCATATATAGATATACTAATTCAATTAATGTCCAGCTTTTTCACTTCGAATGAACCACTGATAAATCCTTTCAACAACAGAAGTTTTGGTTACGAATTTTAAATCTAATGCGGTGGAGAGAACTGGTCTGTCATAAAATTTAAAAGGTTTCGTGAGTTTCGTGTGCAATTAAAAAAAACATTGTTGCTACTGTGGTAGGTTTAAGCCTCCGTGGGTTGTCTTTCCTGTTTCATTTTAGCGGGAGTGGCGAAGGCTCAGCGGTAGACACGCGAAGCGGATTGCTGCCGAAGAGAGAGAAACTTCGGAAGACGTCCGCAAAGCTCAGGAATTTCTTGCATACATGGTCTAACCCTTTACACGCTAATATCAATACTATGTGCATATTCTCCAAATTTTTTCTCTTCATTTCAAGGAGAATTTGTCTAATAATCTATAGCTTCTCGAGTTCGCGATCATTTCTTTTATTCTCATAACCTTTGAGCTTGTTTCACAAGTAATACTGTAAGGAGAAATGAGAAGCTGATGTCTCTCAGGGGTTGAAGGGTTAAAGGAGGAGAGATTGACTACTACGCACCCTTTAGTAAGTTAGATTCAACCAAAATGTCCGACGACAATTCAACTTTAACTGGCGGCCATCCATCTTTCTCCTTAGTGAGCACAACTTACAAAATGTTATCGCTGAGGTCATGGGTTCAAATCCCGTACAGGCCTGAATTTTTTTCGGGCCTTCTTTTCACTACTACTTAAGTAATGTTCATTACTGCGAGGATCGCTTTCATTCACGTCTTTAACCGCAGTTCAAATATATGACTTCCATATATTCACAACCGTTTACAAAATGTTAGTTATCGAGCTCATTAACTAAACAGTGTTAACAGAATAGCAAGACGTCTTGCGGATGACTCAGTACGAAACTCAACACGTTTTCAATCGGATCCTAGCCAATGCGTGATATACATTTACAACAATTTACCTGTGGTTTTTCGATCGAATTAAGTGGGGTTAGTTTCGACCATGTTTACACGCCCCTAAACCACAGGATCACATTTTTTGAGGATATTCGGAAATCTTTCCGTTATTTGAGAATAGTTGAAAATCTTCTCGAGGCTCTTGTGACCTTAGGTGAACAAAGGGCCACCGCTCCGTCTTAAACCTGTGAAATTTTGAAAAGAATACAAATAATTTCAGTATTGATTTCGGTTTTCAGTATCGGTTGGAATGTTACGTGCACCCAGTTCAACCACATATTCCCCGCGGCTATTTAGAAAGTTCTGAATTTTGTACTTCGCGTTCTGATAAGAAAAAAAAACAAACAAACAAACTCCGATTACTGGTCATGACGGCATCATGATTAAATTGATGGGAGAAAACTATTTTTTACTTAGTAGACGCAAATTTGTCAGAGATAAAATGTGAGTTCACTGCGGGTAAGAAATGCGTTAGTTCTTGTTCGAATTCGGAAGTATGCCTAGAACGAACGGAATGTAAAGAAGCTGCCGAAGCTTGAGAATCAGAACTACAGTTCTGGCTGATTTGTAATGAAAATATGTTTACAAATCACTGATACCTGAAATTATCTCAATTCATGAAGCGAGTAATGAGGATTTTTGATTTGATTTATGGCACCTTAAGGTGTGTCGTGGGATGGGATCAGCGCACGACCGGAAAAAAGTGACATCGACCGGAAGTTATTATTTGAGACAGTATGCTTTCAACGCAGTCAGAAGGTCACGCCGCGGATGTTAACATTCAACCGGCTGAGATCTCCAATATAAACAAGAACGTGATTGCTTACCTTGAATGCATTGGCCATCCCCTTGTAAATAATTCTGGGAGAACACGATTTACGCTAGAAGTCCGTGAACTTGCGATATTCCGCGTAAAAGAAGGATGTCAAGATTCGCGCTCAACAAGGTGCCTCGTGTTAGTTCGAAAACACAGCTTTTTCTCACGTGTTTTTCGATGATTTTGATGAACAGCGAAATAATAGCAAGTGGACTCCCTTATTCAGAGCCACCAAGCTTCAAAATCGGGGAAAAGATTCGTTTGGAGACAATTTTGTCGTGTGGTACTGGCGCGTTCCAGAACAAACAAGATTCAGTGTTTTGGTGTGATTCAATGAAGGAAGGTGAGAAGTTACTGTTTCTTTAAAGGCAGATTCTAAGGCATATCTCTAGCTTCGCGATAAACAAAGCATTGTTTTAAAAGCTGACACCTCTTTGCTTAAAATTGTGGGTTTACATACTTTCATAATCAAATTGCTTAGAGCTTTATCTTGTACTAAAGCGACTGGGTTTATTTTTCCTGCCTTGCACGTGAAGCGCAATCAGCGAGCTTCAGTTATTTGGGCGATTCTTATCTTTTACACAATGGACAATGGAGGTTTCATCCAAATAATAGAGGAAAGAAGATGACTGGGCCGATCTATGTCATGTTTCCTTTAGACGTTTGTTTGCAGCGTTTTCAGTTAAACATGCCTCTATCTTATATCGCTGAGTCAGAAATATTTCCTGTTGTCCCCCGAGATCAAGAAGAGCTGACAACACTTCACATCTCTTGACACTAAAATAAACCGCTGAACTGAACTTCAATTGCAATATCTACGCAAGAGGATAGGCTTTTTAGCCACGAAATCGGTGAAATTTCGCAAGTCAGTGGGAAGAACTCGCCTTCGTCTGTATGACAGTGTCAATTACCGCGGGCTCTTATTTTGAAGGGGTATCGCTCAGTGATGAAAAATAAGTTAATTGCGTCGTAATGTCGATTTTCACGTTATATATATTAAATGGCGTGACACAAATCTGGGAAAGATTATAAAATTGCTCATTGACGGACTTACCTTACGAAATATCCTTTAAGCTACTTTATTGCGTCATTTTTAGCGACCTAGCGAATATTGCGCCGTGAGCAGCACGTCATCAACAAGCGATGGAGACTTCTGCGTTGTAGCGACAGTAAATACGATCCGTGGACACCAAGAGATACCATCTTGACGGTTGTTAGCGAGTCATGCGATCATCAACATGGAATCGTGTGAATCCTGGATCACAGCAATTAATAATATCGTGGTCCAAAACCAACAAAACGCGTTATGTGGCTTCGGAAACGACGCGATTATTAAGTGACGAAGATTTCAAGTTTTAGGAACGGCCTCGACGGGCAAGTGAGGCAATTACTGTACTTTAATTGCCTCTCGACGCGAATCTGATGATGTTAAATTAACGTTCATCGGCTGTTCGTGTCAGAATCGATTAGGCGCTTCTTAATCTCTACGAAGAGGACGCGCGAGGGAAGAGAGTTTTGCGTGGGGGACGATACGCGCAGCGCGTCGTGTAAAATCCTTGGTGAGTCCCAAGTGGGCCGATCAGCTTCTGTAGCATCGATGAGCCGTTTAGGTGCGTTTCTCTATGTTTAGCGCTCCTCTTCTAATGGTATTTCCTAGTGACTTACGCCTGTAACATTTGTGTGCAGACATTGAAACGCACAAAAGGAATGTCAAAGAAAATACCGAAAAAAAGCCTGGAGACTCCCTAATTTTACAGTATGAATCTCTCCCCTCCTCCCCTTCCCACCCAATTAAATCTTGAGTCTGAAACGTTGAAGTCTCCACACCAAACACATTTCTGGCAGCTCTTCCTTTGCCGCCTATTAACTCTTTAACTTCCAATATCTGATCGTTAATTCTTCCCTCCGGCTGCTAGACTTTTCCTTGAAATTAGTTACGATAATTTGGCGTCAGATCAAACAACAACTTCTATCTGATGAGTTTGAGTATTCTCATTACTTTTTTGCCGGATGATGTATGGATATTACAGGAAGAAGTTACGTGTTAATCAGTTTTGGTAGTTAAAGAGTTTAAGGTCAAAGGGACGGGTCAACTACGTACGTCTTTGGAAAATCTTTTGTGGTGCGCTACCGGGTGGATCATGTGCTACTTAAAAGCGATTAAAAATATATTTGTTACCTTTCTTATGTTTCTAAGACCTTTGTTGGGCGTGATCTGCCTATTATGTCCCTGTAACTCGGGATGACTTTAAGTAGAAATAAGAATCAAACGTCTTCTTTTTTCTAATTTTGGTACCAGACGATTCTAACCAGACGAATGGAAATCAAAGTGACACGTGTTCCGCATGCGATCCCTTGACAAATGCTTCATATAGCATAAAGAGCGTACTGACAGGGAATGGAGTGAGGGAATGGAGGTCTCTCCCAAAGGATAAGGAGAGTATTCTACAGGAGCTCAACATCACGATCAACTTTCCACAGGTGGGCATTGTTTAGGAAGGATTCACACCCTGATTGCAAGTTCGTCTCCTTCCACCTTCGCCGGAGTTCGCCGGGGCGAATTCGCAAAGGCGGTAGGGGCAACATCGCAATGGGGCGAACCTCCAGATACCGTGTGTATTACAATTTGGGAGATAGGCTATTTCCATATATTTGTTATATTTTCGGGAGAATACGCTTGGGGAGGACACTCATGATCACTTCTCAGAGTCGCACCGTGCATGTTGATTCCTTTCGTGATACGCGCTTCCGCATAAAAGTCATTAAAGATTTGCGACCCCATTCATTCTCTAAAATGAAGTAGTCGTGGCCGAGTGGTTAAGGCGATGGACTAGAAATCCATTGGGGTCTCCCCGCGCAGGTTCGAATCCTGCCGACTACGAAGTAGAGAACACTTTTGCTTATAGTTTTAAACAAAGGAATAGACAGGTCTTCATTGTGTTAGTTGCGATCCGCATTAGATAGCTTGACTCCACAAATTATTGAAAGGCTAAATTGAGGGCCAATTTTTTCCAAGTTATTTGTGCAGTTCACGTGATAGTTTTAATAATTGCTTCCTTCTTACCCTTCAAAGAAAAACATGTTTACCGGCACCAGTTATTGTCCGCCTCAATGCGTTTTGTGTCTAAATTTGTCCTCCTTTTCACCATCACCATCACTCCTTAACCCTTTAACTCCTAAGATCTGATTAGTAATTCTCCCCTCTAGCTTCTAAACATATTTTTTAAATTAGTAATGAGAATTTGGTGTAAGACTAAGACAACAACTTCTACCTGATAAGTTTGAATATTCTCATTAGCTGTTTGCTGGATAATGTAAGGATATTATAGGGAGAAAGTTTCATGTTGATCACTTGTGGGAGTTAAAGGGTTAAACTGCCATCCCTCGCACCTTGCTCCTCCCAAATTTTCCTTAATTTTACCATGGAAACTTAGCAACTGATAATTATAACAAAGTTATAACTAGAAGCAACTTTGGCGTCGTAAGTGGTCATTCCTCTCGGGGTCTTTCCGATTAAAGGTGATGTTTGCTAATGTGTATTTTGTGCATGAAATGTTTCCATGCTTGTGGAATTTCCGATTAGTTGATAAACTTCGAAGCAGCTTTGTGAAAAGACTCAAATTTTCCATCCTTACTTAAATTCAGCAGAGTGGCGCAGTGGAAGCGTGCTGGGCCCATAACCCAGAGGTCCGAGGATCAAAACCTCGCTCTGCTATGAACTTTTTCTTTTTTTGAAAAATTAGATGCCTCTGAATTCAGTGCCTATACTCTAAGGAAGTAGCTGGTGTTTAGAGGAGAATCGACTTCACATTCTGGGAATTGAAGGATGATTTCACAAAATAAGAGGTGCCAACGAGCTCATTTACGGGAAAATCGCGATTGAAATCACTGGCAAGCTTTTGGCCATAAAAAAGACGTCAAATTTTTTGTTTTATGTGCGCGCCACTCACGCGTGAAATTGCTTAGCAGAAATGATGCGGGATGTAATACAAAGGTATTACCTTTTAGAAAAAATGGATTACTCTATCTGCAGAAGTTAAGCTTTAGTGGCGTAACCTGCATGACATGAGTGTGATTTGCCTTTCGTTTTAATGGTTTTTTCTTTGTTCTTACGCATGAGATTGTAGTGAGTAAGGACGAATTTAAAAAATGTATGTGCTTGAAAATAGATAGATCGTAGTCGGAAAACCTGCCGAGTCCATTGAAGGCTAACAAAGAAACAATTATTAAAACAATCACGTGAACTGCACAAATAACTTAGCCTTCAATTTAGAGTTCCAATAATTTGTGGAGTCAAGCTATCTCTTGCGGATCGCAATTAACACAGTGAAAACCTATCTTTTAGCGGTAAATTCCTGCGTTTAAAACTGCAAGCAAAAGTGTAAAATACTTCGTAGTCGGCAGGATTCGAACCTGCGCGGGGAGACCCCAATGGATTTCAAGTCCATCGCCTTAACCACTCGGCCACGACTACCTCATACAGAGAAGCGTTCCAACGTACGTTGAGACTGTTTCCACCTTCATTTAACGAAAATTAAAGAGGATTTTTGACCTCAAATCTGTTAAGATCATAATTGTTTCACTATATATCGAGCTCTCCTAAAATAATCTAAGACCGTTTAGTGATATAACACGCCAAAAGCACAGGGAAAAAATTGGTGCGCCTTGTTAAAGACCAAAATCTGAACACTGAATGCCAACAGCAGAGTGGCGCAGTGGAAGCGTGCTGGGCCCATAACCCAGAGGTCCGAGGATCAAAACCTCGCTCTGCTATTTATTTTTTTTCTGTGCTTTAATCTGGTGCTGAAATAACATTTTACTGTAGATTTCTCATGAGTCAATACCAACTGAGCTTGCTTAAAAAAGTATCTTACTGTTAGGAAATGACATCCTTTTACCTGTTGAATTTTCAAGAATTCCAAACAATTTTGAACGGTAATAAGAGGTACTACAGACGGTAAATGTTACCAGTTACTGCCTGAAAAGGAGAACACTGATTGACTGTCTTTCAATATAAGTTTGGTGGAAGAAAAGTTTTGTTAATTTATTTTCTATATACTTCTTACATTCGACTCGACTTTCGTTTCAGATACTGGAGATACAGAGTATTTCTGTGAAGGCAGGTAAAACGCCTCTTCCCGCTGTCTGGGCCCTGGAAACGACCATCGATGTTAACAGCGACTTTCAGGGGGTGCGTTACTATGTTAAAAACCAAGACGATTGCTTAAAACACTTCGGAGTGAGCCTGTTAGACAGTCCTGTTTGCCATCTACAATCGGAACGTTCGTGGACAGAAAGCAAAACTGTAAGTACTCATGTAATCTCCTCTATGTGCGGGGTCGTGAACCAAAACAAAAGTAACGACTACGCCCAATTAAAGCAACGATTTATATTACGAGAAGCCATCAATTTTTTAACAGTTTTGACACTTTCCTGCTATTTTACGACTGTACATCGTCCGCGTTAGAACTTTTCCCGCCAAAAATGGGCCACGCGCGTCAAAGTTGACAAAAATTAAAACTCTTTGTTGAAAGCAAGAGAAGGTTTTCCGAAAACCGTTCATGATTAAAAGTCCTTCAGACTCAAACTGGTTCCAGCAGAAAAGGTAACAAAGTAGTTAAATCGATTAGGGTAAGCCTTTATATCTGTAAACCAAGTTAGTTCCAAGCGTTATCTACGATTTCTTCGGCTTTGTTCTGTACTTCAGTTTGTGTTTGGTTTAAAAATTTTTAGCCAACTTTCAACCAGTCTCTCTACATCGAGCCGTTTGCCTCAATGGCTACTTGTGACATTTACTCTTCTCTGGGGAAGGGGGGGGGGGGGGGGTTACCGTGGGGTTATTTTTGTATTACAACACTGCCTTGCGCTTTACAATTTATTTAGTGTAACTTTTCCTTGCAAGATGTGAAACGTTTTGAAACTTGCCCTCGTGGAAAATAGAGTTTTATAGCAGTTCTTTATTTACAGTTTCTAAATCATCTGGCGGCTAGTGTCCAGCTGAGATTTTTAAAAATGTGGCCTGTTGTTGAAGCAAGAAACAACTATTCGGTGAGTACCCTACTCTAAGGCGTAAAAATGTTGTGGGAGTTTTTTTTTCCGGTTTTTTTAATTCGACTTGGGACCAATTTTTGCGTTCCTGTTGAAGCAGCATAATCATAACAACGAGAAAAGGTAATATCTTGAAATGGCAATATTTTCGAGCTATGCAAAGTGGAGCCGCAAGATTCTATATCCGTTTGATATTATGAATGAGTCTGTATACCAAGAATACGATTTGGCGTTTGATTTGTTTGGGAACGTTTTGATTGGACTGAAGTTGGTAAATATTGGCGGCGTTTTATTTTTAGGAATTGCTTTTCCGGTTTCTTTGCAGTCTCATGCGTGGGAAACAAATAGGAAAGCATTTCAAAAAGAGGAAATTTTCACCCATGTGATGTGGATCACGGCATAGATATTTCAATCGTGTAGTTGGAGAAATAAGTTTTCGCTCTAAGGTAATTCTCTTGTATTACGTTGCGCAAATTCATAGCGCAAGGTTGATACCTACAATTTTCACACGTGAGTAGCGCGCGCACGTTTAAAAATGGCGTTTTATTTGTGGCAAATGACTCGTCCTCTACCTTTTTTCTGTCACATTTAGGATTACTACTCAATCAGCGACATTTCAATAGAAGGACGCTGTGTCTGTAATGGCCATACAGATGAGTGCAGTCCAACAGACGATGGACGCATGGCTTGCCATTGTCGCCATAACACGTGCGGGGAACGGTGTCAATTTTGTTGCGAGGGTTACTCTCGAGACGACAATGGTGATTGTGAGGGTATGTTTCGGTTTTGCTTTTCAACTAACAATCGTTGTCTCGGGGGCTCCCATTTTGCTATTTTCAGAGGATAAAAATCGTCACGCGCTGGTGCATGAAAAGTTGCTTGGAATGGTAGTTTTACGTCGTTTAAGAGATAAGAAATACTTTAAAAACCACATTCCCCCCTTTAGCGCTGTACAAACCCATTTCCGGTAGGTTAAGTTTTTGTTTTGCATTGCATTTTTACTGTCTCTAGGTAGACCAAAGAATACTTCAAAAGTGAACTCTAACAAAACATCTTTGGCACACACGACAAGCGTTACTCGCCATATGGAGGAGAGTGAACGGTCATCTAAAGTGATCAGTACCACTGATAACTTCTTCACCCGCACTGCATTACACACTCCTACAAAAACTTTTTCCGGTTTCAGCACTGTAAAAAGTAGCGCTGCTCCTCCGTCAGGAGAAATGAGTGCAGTGTCTGATGGTCCTTCCACGGCTCACGATCGTTCTACAGTAAGTACGCCTTCCACTGTGAATGTTGCTATGACACGCATTCCTAACGAAGAAAAGAGATTGTCTTCACTTGCGAAAACGGCCGCTGTAACTACCCCTGAAGACAAGACAACTGTGTCTATTGCTGGAAAAACCTCTGCCGCACTGTTTGCTGTGAAAAACGATACCGTACCTTCCTCCAAGATCCGCAGTTCTGTGCCAACTGTGGCGGAAAGTAACTCTGTGTATCCCACAAAAGTCTTGTCTCTATTACCTCCCACGGTGGAAATTGTTGGTGCGTCAATGTCCAAGAGGAATGCTACTGTATCCACGTCGAAGGAAAATACTATTTTTCCTGATTCAGCATCCTCTCATTATAATACCACCATTATATCTAAGCCTAAAGGAAATACTATGGCTCCTTCATCAAAGGATGCCAAAAAGATGTCTACACTGTCCACCACTGTGAAAACCAACTCTTTGGCTACCACCGATGAAATTTCCTCTATGACTGCTACGATCGCAAGTACTTCTCTTGCCTATCCTATCGAGGCTTCAGTGGTGTCTAACAAAGAGAACAATACTCTGGCCTCTCATGGAGTATTTACAACTGTCGCCACCACTGTGGAAAATACTACAATGTCTATCATTGTTGAAAATACTACAAGGGCCACCATTGTGAAAAACACTTCCCTGTTCACCGTTGTTAGAAATGCTGCTGAGAAAACCACTACTGTAACAGAACCTGTTACTGTGTACCCCACTACAATGGAAGTCACGACTCAGACCACCACCATGGAAACTGATACTGAGATCACCTCTGTGGCAGACAAAAGTGAGTCCTCCACAGTGGAAATAACCACAGAGCCCACCATTGTAGAAAGTACTACAGGTTTGACTACGACGGAAGTCACTTCTGTAGCCACCACTTTGGAAACTACTGAGTCAACCACTTTGGAAGCTACTACAATGCCCAACATCGAGGAAACAACTACTGTGCCCACTAGTGTGGAAACAATGACTGACCCCACCACCGTGGAAACTACCACTGTGCCCACCACCATGGAAACCACCAAACTGCCTAACACCGTGGAAACAAAGAATGTACCAATTACTACGCCCACCACTGTGGAAAAAACTACTGAGCCAACCACTTTGGAAGCTACTACAATGCCCAACACCGTTAAAACAACTACTGTGTCCTCTACTATAGAAGTAATGACTGACCCCACCACTGTGGAAAATACCACTGTGCCCACTACCGTAGAAACCACCAAACTGCCTAACACTGAGGAAAAAAAGAATGTACCAATTACTATGCCCACCACTGTGGAAACAACTACTGAGCCAACCATTTTGGAAGCTACTACAATGCCCAACACCATGCAAACAACTACTCTGCCCACTACTATGGAAACAACGACTGACCCGACCTCTGTGGAAACTACAGCTGTGCCCACCACCATGGAAACCACCAATGTGCCCACCTCTTTGGAAACAACTATTAAATCAACCACCATGCAATCTACTACCTTACTTAGCACCGTGGAAACAAGTACTGTGCCCACAACCGTGGAAACAACGACTGAGTCAACCATTTTGGAAGCTACTACAATGCCCAACACCGTGGGAAAAACTACTGTGCCCACTACTGTGGAAACAACGACTGACCCTACCACTGCGGAAACTACCACCGTGCCCACCACCGTGGAAACCACCACTGCGCCCACCTCTATGGAAACAACTATTAAATCAACCACCGTGGAATCTACTACTTTGCCTAACACCGTGGAAACAAGTACTGTGCCCACCACCGTGGAAACAACGACTGTGCCCACCACTATGGAAGCTACCACTGAGCCCACCACCATGAAAACCACCACTGTGCCTACCACTGTGAAAAAAACGACTGTACCGACCACTCCCCGAGTTCTTTCAGAGGAAGAATTACGAAAGATTTTTAATTTGCCTTTAGGAGGTGAAAATTTCAATTACTACTCTGACATTTTTTTCTTAGACAAAATTAAATTTTTTCTTGACTTGTTCTGGTTCTCTTTTTCTTCTCCTTTGCTAGTGTGCTTTTGTAGCAAGTTTGCAACAGTCACGAGGCAGTGCTTTCCTACGGCACTGAACAAACCGTGTATATGTCGTGCGAACTTCGCTGGCCTAAGATGCGAGAAGTGTGCTCCTGGTTATTTCAACTATCCTTTTTGTGCTCGTAAGTAGCCCAACACTGGTATTTATTTCAGGGTATCGTGGAAGTCTTGTTCAGTCATGGAAGGATACTAAGGGTAGGTTGTGACAGTTCAGCAAAATTTAGAGCAGTTCGCCCTAAAGAAGGGTCGGAATGTTTCCGGAAAAGAAATGAGTGAACCTCCTCGAAGTTTTTCGAGGGAAAAAAAAAAAATTTGAGAGGAAAACAAGGTTTACTTATTAGTAGAGGTGGATTTAACGGCTGGATTTGTTGGCCTGGTAGGAAAGCAGTGTTTTCCCCTCTCAGAGGGACAAATGACGAGAAACAATACCTGGTTAAGGCTATATCAGCCTGTGAATTTTCCTTTTTTTCTCGTAAATATGCGTGGAAGTGCTCAGATTCCACTCTTCCATGAATAAGCTTCTAAAATTAGTACCGTTTTAACGTCTTTTGTAATAGGGAGTACCCCGGGACAAACGGATCGATTAACTGTAAGGTTTTCTTTTATTTTTTCATGCGCTAGTATTTGTCTTTCAGCCTGCAGATGTAACAAACAGGGCTCCGCATCGTTAGTCTGTAACCAGTATACAGGACGCTGTAGTTGCAAGCTAAGTGTCAGAGGAAGAAGGTGTGATGAATGTCCTGTCAAATCTTATGGCTTTCCCACATGTTTAGGTGAGTTTCAGGAATCCTCTTTATTGAATCAGACTGCCAATTGAAGAATTGTGCCCTCAGCGAAACTGTGCTGTAAAGATATCGTTCAATGGAAGATGGTGTTACTACTTTCCAGCACCGGCGATAGACGCGAGGATATTTAGACAAAAACGTGTACTCTCTTTCTTCGTAGCTTGTGACTGCAACTTGTCTGGTTCATACGGTGGAGGTGCCTACTGTGATCCGTACACCGGGCAGTGTCCCTGTAGATATGGCTTCAGAGGAAGGCAATGTGACAAGTGTCCTGCTGGTTATTATAACTTTCCTAACTGCCAATGTAAGTTGACCATTATTATCGTTATTATCATTTTTATCACTGTTATTTTTAATTGTTCTGTTCATAGTTTAATATCGCTGTCAATATTACTGTCGTTGTCATTATCTTAGTCTTGTTAATGTTTTTATTATTATTATTATTTACTTATGTTTCACTTCATAAGTCGATAGGTTGCATCAACAATTCCTTAGATATCAAACTATATTCGAGAGTTCTTGGCCATACCGATATGAGGAAAGATACCATTTTCAAAGCTAATAATTAAAAGTGCATTACCGAAAGCCAGTTTCGTGTAGCTTCCGACTTGAACTTGAGTGGTGATTTGCGTGGCATCGCTGCTGAAGCTCAAATGTATCACGTCACGCAATTCCATGATTGTACCATCACATCGCTTAATTTTTCAGGGTGTGGATGTAATCCGTTAACAACAATATCTGACATATGTGAGGACAGCGCCGACGGCTATAGGTGTTTATGTAAACCCAACTATGAAGGTCTTTTCTGTGGACAGTGTAAAAAAGGATATTACGGCTTCCCTGTTTGCAAAAGTGAGTATTCCTAAACAAGTAATGTTCCCCCAGGCCGGTATGGGAGCTAAAGAAAACTCCACCCTTATCAAAGCACCGCTTTTCTGTGTGTCAACTTTCACAATATCAAGGCTTTCACTAAAACCTACAATTAATTGACTCTGTGTTCACTGTGAAAATCTTATCTTAACTTCGTGAGAGACAATGTCATGTTGGTTGTAGATCCCTTCTCCAGGCAAAAATATTCTTTAGTGTGGAATAGATTTAGTATTACACGTGGGCCAATAACACAACAGATAGAGGACCATTAGTCTTGCCTCTCGTCTTGTTCTTCAAATCCAATAAGATCTCATTCAGCAAATATCGTGTTCGTAAAAGTTTTGTGGTGTATGATTATATCGTTCAGAATTGTTCCCCAGTACCAACTGATCTATGTTTTCCGCCAGGGTGCACGTGTTCGCCTCGTGGATATGGTTCTTGTAATGAACTTGGAAAATGCGTCTGTAATGATGGGTATGCCGGGATACAGTGCGACCGCTGTGCAAATGGCTACTATGGTTTCCCAAACTGTAGAGGTAAGTGGAGGAGAGGTGGTAAGGATGTGACTTCGACTTTTCGTGGGCGTTATCAGAATAAGTTAGCAGTCAGCTACATTATTACTTTAAAATATTTCCAAAAGGAAAAACGTTAAGTCACTCGCAAATAGTTCTTCTCCACTGAGTTTAGAAAGTTTCTGACAATCAAGTATCAATATCATTTTTAAGAAAGGAAAAATCTTAGCAGAGCGAGGTTTTGATCCTCGGACCTCTGGGTTATGGGCCCAGCACGCTTCCACTGCGCCACTCTGCTGCTGTGTGGGAAACAGGAGAACAACGCCATCCCTTTTCTTTCCCGTAACTCTCTACTGGGACCGTTATAAAAAAGACTATGACTAGTGAAGCATGCTCCATTAATATTTACGAAGGAACTACCTCAGTGAGTCTTTGATATTTGACCAATCTTCTTACCTACTCAGCGTGTAATTGTAACACCTTTGGCTCGTACAGTAGACAGTGTAACTATACAACCGGGGAGTGTTCCTGTAAGCCCGACATCCGAGGTATTCAGTGTGACCGCTGTGCAGAAAATATGGTGGGCTTTCCCGCGTGTATCAAGTGTGACTGTAATGCAGATGGTACCAGATTCTTGCCTGGTTTTGCCAACGGAATGTGTTACGGTTCAGCCAAGGTCAGTACGAGGAATGATACAGCTAGAATTAATCACTTGTTTTTTAGTTGGGTCGGGAGAGGTGGTTGATCTGATTGTTAGCACGCAGAGCCAACGAGGCGTGTTTTTGTTTTTGTGTGGTATTACCTTTCCAGGTTTGTTCGCCCATTCAATAGTATCATGAAACTTCAAGGGTTAAGATAAGGTTCTATAGACATAGAAAAAGTCCCCGGTTGCTTAGATGTGACAATTAAAACGCGAAACTGTAACGTCTTCACTCCATTAAGATCGTTTTCTTTGGACAGTTTTTACATGCAAAAACTTTCAACCCTTGTTTACTCAGTTCACTTTATAAAATGACAGGTTTTTATGTATACCATCCTTGTTCTAGTATCAGTGCCTTTGTAAGTCCAACGTTGTGGGCCGCACATGTGATCGTTGCCTGCACGGTTTCTACAACTTTAGCGGCAGCAACCCCCTTGGTTGTACATCCTGTAGCTGCTCACATGTTGGGACTGTGTCGGGTACACGCAACTGTCATGCGCAAAATGGGCGCTGCGAATGCAAGAATCATGTGATAGGTAAAAAGTGTCAGAATTGTCGAGATGGGTACCATGGAATGAAGTCACATGATATATTTGGTTGTAAAGGTGAGGCTTTGATTCTTTTAAGTTCAGGATCATGTTTTGAAGTGTGGGGGCTTTTAAGGCCTGACTTAGACTTTGACAGACAGACCGTGGCCCGTAACGAATTAATCGCATTCGGATGTTTTCCTTTCTTCGTACCAAATTAAGGGTGGAACAAATGAAACAAAATAGTTATTCAATGCCTAACAAATGAATTATTATTTTTTTTACTCTGGGAAGTCATTCCTCTTCCATGAACTGATTTGTTTGACTCCTGGCGTCCCTTTTTTTTTGCCTCTTCTTTTTTATCTTAAGGACGGGGGGGAGGAGAGATGTGAATTTAACATGGTAATTTAAAGAGGATTTAGGGTGACTAAAGTTTTTTCCTTCATGAAAAGATCGATCCTTTAGCACTTTTGTGACTGTTTTGTTTATCTATTCCTCTCTCATAGCGTGCAAATGTGATCCTGGCGGATCGGTCAGAAAAAATTGTTTCAAACATCTAGGAAACTGTCAGTGTATTTCTGGAGTTAGAGGAAAGAAATGTGACAGGTGAGACTTTCACCCCATCATTGTCACGCTTCTTGTCGACTTCCTCCCTTACACCCTATTCCCCTTGGTACTTCTTTGAAGATTATGCTGTTAAAATTTGCTTTTAAAACCAAACGCGAAGGAGTGTAGGTGAATTTCCATCTGCCACGAAACAAGCTTTTACCCTTTGTCTTTCAACATTCGCTTTAAAAATTTATCTAGCATCAAAGCCATTCTAGATTGAAATTTTTTTTAACGTTTTCAACAAACCGTCCACCATGAGGCTGATGTGCACTGTGCACAACAGTGGATTCTCTGCATGGAAAATGTATCTTTTGTTTCCTTTGGCAGTTTGCTTGAGAAGCCAAAATGTACAGTAGATGTCATGGTTCCTTCTTTTCAAAACCCTCTTCAGTTATTTAACTCTCCAATATAGTGGATAGCCCTGTTAGCGGGCTTGAGTCATCAAAAGCAACAAGGAGTCACGTGGTGTAAACCTTTTAACTCCCTTAAATTGCGTAACTGGGTGATGAGGACAGTGAACCTATCAGATGAATTAATTTTTACAGATAAGGTTTTGCTTGTGGCCTCATTTTGAAACTGAGGATTTTAAGAACTCGGTTATGGCCTTTTGTCTGAAACCTGAACATTTTCCTTGCAGTCTCTATGCGTCAAGAGCGACATATTACCCAACTTTGTATCACACCTATGTTGAGCTGGAGAGAGCGGTGTTGACATCCAATACTAAAATCCGGGTTCCGATAGCGGCTGATGATAATGTCTTTCCATCTTTCTCTGGAGTTGGCTACGCAATTTTCCCTCCATATAAGGTATTGTCGTGACTCCTTCTGGGGCGCTTTTGTGGTAGTAGTTTGGGCGCTGGGGAGGATGGGAAGGGAGAAAAAGGAGAGATTCTCTTCTCTTTTCCCTCCTATTCCTTGCGAGTTTCTCGCAAACCTGCTACGCATTTTAACTGAGATCGATTCAGGATTATGAATGCGTTGGAATGTAGCTATACGAGCTTGCCCTGATTTTTCCTGCTTCCTTTGATGTGTTTTTTGTAACTTTGTTTGTTTGTTTTTTCTTTTTTGTTACTTTGTTTTTGTTTGTTAACTCTTACTTGAAACTGGATGCTGAGACAGATTTACCTGTTCCGGAGGTATTTGACGTATTTTGGTAAATTCTGGATTCTTCTCTTCCTTTCACTGTCTTTTTACATTAGGAGTACGCAGTTGTTGTGGCCATCCCCAAGACAAGTAAATATCACGTCATCTTTCACTACGCGCTCAGAAATAACCAACGTTCCTCTGCGAAAGTGGAGCTATATCTAAGAGGTACGATTTCGTATCCAAACTTTAGCTGGTTGAGACTAACGTAATTCACGTATTTTGATGGACTGTTTCTTATGGAACAAGGGTGATTTAAGGACCAAAATAGCGCACAATTTCCCCTTAATAACGTCCATTTTTAAATGGCTCGGTTAAATTGTTTAAGTGCAAGATTTGCTCAGCACTACTATTTTATTGACCTAGCAGCAAATAATGATCATAAAAGAAATAGTTATAATGATATGGAGCGTGATTTGTTAGCTAATCACACCGCTGATTGGCTTTTTGTTTCAGTATTGTAGTGTGAAAGCTTAGAAGCGAAATGGATCCGATTTATAGGAAACAATGGTGCGATTCGTGAATAGAATACGCTGCTAAAAACCAAGGATTACATTAATCTCAAAACCACGTAACAAACACCAACATTTTCTACATTCAGCTCCTTTATTTATTTGTTTTTCTCTAGGCTCGTTGCCTAAACCATACAACTTTGAGGTACAGTTTCCCCCACGGAATCCAAGTGAACAACAAACCAAGAACTTAAGACTTACCGTAAATAAAAGAGGTGTAAACAAAGAGTTTGAGTTGGATAAAGGTGCTTGGACTGTTGCTATAACATCCCACAGCACAATGTTGTTGTTGGTAAGGATACTGAATTTGTTAGTTTGTTTGTTTTTTATTCATACATTCATCATATCACATGTAACCTAGCGGGAATATATAGCTCTCAGAAGTTATGTTGTATCGTTGTTCCACCCTTTTCTTAAAGTTCATTGCACCACTCTCTCGCTGTATATCCCCGTCTCTCGTTAGGTGCTGGTACTTTACTTTCTTGAACTTTTTGTTTGTCGCTTAATCCTGCGGAACTTTTTTGCGTTCTTGCTTTTCATCCAAAGAGAAAAACTTTGGAAATAGTCCGGCGAAGCAAATTTTATGAAAAA